TGGAGATATGCTATTTGTTCTGTTTTAGTTTCTCCTGGAAGTCTTGAGGTAAATACACCTATTTTGAAATCTCCATTTTCCTTGATATAATATTGATTAATACTGAATGTTTTTCTATTTCTTGTTTTATATATTTGCTGTTCAGCAATATTATCCCCTCTAATTTTTTCATTGATGACTTTCATTTCTATTTTGTCTTCTAGTTCTTTGTCTTCCATTTCAACTTCAGTGATAATCAGAATTTCAATTGGTGTGATTACTTAAACTTCCATGGCCATTGCCTTATCAGGTAAGTTGTTAATAAGAAGATCACTTTCAATTATTGACTGATTTGTTGATAATAGTTGTAAGGTGTATTGTGTTTGTTCTGCCTGTTCTATCATATTCAGGTATTTGTCTTCTAGAAAGGGAGCTAGAAGATCTTCTTCTTTTTCTTGTCCTATGGCTTATAAGTAAAGGATATGTTGTCTAAAAACATTGACTTTAATGAAGGTAGTGTGATCAATGTCCAGAATTCTAGCGATGATATTATCAATAATTGAGTATCTAGTTAGACCTGGGACTGGATTCATAATAGTTTCTTGAGTTGAAGTAACATTCAAGAAGATTTGTAAGGCTCATAACTTTCTTTGTTGATCATATTTGTCTATTAGTTGGACTAAAGTTTCAATGATATATGCTTATCTTTTCTTAACAACCTGTAAGAGTTTGTATTTTCTCATGGACATGTTGATCATGTGATATGAAGAGTAGGTTGCTATATATGGTGTTGATATGTTTTATTAAATACTGTTTTGGATAGTGCTGAGTTTGTTTATTTGTTTTGTTTGTTTATTCTTATTTATGTAAACAAGATGTTGATCTGTTGATCCACGTGTTGCAGGTTTGTTTATTCCTTATTATTATTTTGGTAATATGGAAAAACCTTGTTGTTTGTTGTAACATGTTGGTAATATTTATTTCACATGTATGTTGTAATAGTATTGTTGATATTGTTGATCAGTCAATAGTAAACATGTGGAGTTGTGGATTGTTGATAATTGATTTGCGTAAACATGTAGAGTTATGAGGTTGTTGATAATTGATTTGCGTAAATACGTAGAAAGTGTATTAACATTGTTTATTTGACACGTCTTTGAGCTTGTTGTGAAAAATATACGTGTCTGTATTTGCATGACATAATATTATTGAAATATTGTTGTTGTGATGTGTATGCTTCTTTACTGTACAGTTAATGAAGCTTGGGCATTCCTCTAGGTTTTATGAGTATTTGGACTTAGACTGATTTATCAATTTGAGTTATTGCTTGTAAAGCTTCTCTTGATGTCTAGAAAGGTGTTAACTTGCACTGGCCTGGCTAGGAGCTTTGTGAAGTTGATGTTGGGCTTCCAAAAGCTTACTGTGGTTCAGTCTTTCTTGTTGTTTTTCTCTTTTTAAAAGAAAAAATTTATGTAGTAAAAGTTAGTAATTTTGTAAAACTTATCTCTTCTATACTCTGTAAAGAGTTCTTGAACTTGTTTTTGTAAGTTGTTTAGTTGTAAAGAAGGTTTTTCTTGTTTTTTTGGCTGGTTTCTCTTTTTCTCAAAAAATTACCAAAAAAGAAAATTTTCTGAAAAATTGGGGATCGATAGATAAAGATTCTAATATTAATCTATTAGAAAAGTAAAATATTATTTTCTAATCCAGCTTAGAGTATTAATTGAAACATTGTTTTATTTAATTCAAATTAACAACCTTTTTATATTTTTTAAATGGTATAATTTTTTAATTAATAATATATAATGACAAATTAGTCATCATATAAATGATTAATATAACATTCTAGATATTTAATTAATTTTTTTTTTTTTTAAGTATATGTACAGTCTAAATCATCAATTTATTAATTTATTGAAAACATAAGTATATTTTTATTCGAGCAGCATAATATATACTATAGCTAAACTATTATTCTAATCTAACTAACATGTCATAAACATAAAAGTTTTTAAGTTCAGTCTTAAGAATAATATTTTACTCCGCAATGTCTTTGGATGAAAACCCTGCTAGTCTATTGCATTATTGCTAGCAGATTGTTACTACTATATATCTAACCAAGCTACTATAATACAGGAAATTATAAAAGAATGAATTGAAAAAGAGAAGAGGGGATATTTAAAAATATCTAAGTAGATAACAAAAAAATAAAAGAGTAAAAATTGAAAAAATATTTCCAGCTTCCTTCAAAGACCTGTTTCTTAAGATCTTTTCTCAATAAGAAATATTTGATTGAGATATCCTTTTTTTTTTAACCATTTAAAGAACTTATCTATTTCTAATTTTGATTTCCTTCTTGTGTATTGTCTAAAGAGACTTATCATCTAGTAAGGATCTTTACTTTCAGGACACACTTAATCCCAACCTTCTTTGAACAATAATTTTTTATCCATCTATAATAGAGAGATGACTTATGATAAATTCCAGATTCTTATGTGACCTAGTAAGGACTAGATCATATTGTTTCAATATAATACCTTCTAGCAGTCACATCTAATTAAAGGAATTTTACTGATATACATCTTCTATTACTCAAAAGGTCAGATTCCCCAATAATTCTTTTGCTTTGTAATAGTGGGAGGGTCTCAGTAGTGATAAGGATCCTCGTCGATTATGATATTCTTCAACAACTTCTGGGAAAATACATTCTCAACTATAACCAAAGGATTGAAGCTTAGTATAGACTAGAGACCATTTGATTTTATTGCCTGACTGGGATAAAAAGGAAACCTTGGTCTTGAACTTTGCCTGACCAGAATGATAAGAAAGAAAGACCTTAGCTTGAATAAATAGTAGCTTTTTGAAACTTGTTATTTGTATCTTATTGATCTCATGGTATTTGATTTGTAGATTAACTAAATTAGAGAAGTAGGTTAGACACAGGGTACCAATTAACTCTTTCTATCACCAATAATGTCATCAGAACATGTAAGATAATCAATAGGAACTTGTTTACATTTAATTATTAATGTGTTTTATGTTAACCAATCAGGTGCCAGGTAATATTGTGCTACCAGAAATTTAGGATCAAACTGAGGTAGACAAAATTTCACAAAAAAACCATGAAAAACAATAGATACTTTAAGAAAATAAAAGATAGTATGTGAGAAAATGAATAATAAACCTTTTCCTATCAACAAAACCTCTATTTCTTGTTGCTTCTAGTTCTATAAGGTAACACTCCACTTGTCAGTCCTTTTACTTCCTAGAACCTTCTTATTCTTAGTAGAGGAAATGTGTACCTGAGTCTTTTCAGGTTACTAGAGGCTCAAGTTTTTATTCAAAGAAGTTTATAAACAAGTAAGGGAGGGTAGAAGAGATACATGAAGACAAGCTTAAAGTTGTTTTAATGAAAGTGTAAAGACTTTATTAGCAAAGAAGTATAAAACTTCTTACAAATATCTTTTTTGTATGTGATCAGAGGATCAGTGGAAAGAGTTGTAGTTTTTTCATAGATATTTATTTAATATTTCAATAAAGATATACTATAATTATACATATACAGTAATTATAGATTAAAAATAAAAAATTATTATATTAAAATCTATTGTTTGAATAAATAAACTCACTCTTAATTATAAATCTTTTATTTAGAAAATTCAAATTTTATTCAATTACTTCTGACTTAAATTTAATATTAAAATCAAAGAGAATTCGCATCATTTACAGAAAAGTTAGATATACTTTTTAATGTGTATGCCTCTTTATTTTGTAAATTTTTGTTGCGTAATTTTTTCTATGAACTTTGTTAATGAACCAGTAATTAAATTAAATAAGAATCAGTCTATTATTATTATATTATTAAATGTACGGACGGGATCTAGCAAGTCTCCATCCATCCGTCCATCCTCTATTGTAATGTTTTTTTTTGTTTTTTTTTTTTGAAGTCAAGTCATCCAGTTTGCGCATTTTCCTTAGAAACTAAATCTTATATTGTTGTTAGAAAACAATACTGCTGCTGCCGAAATGATCATCGTGTAAGCCATCAGTATGCCCTCAGCAGCAATGTTGTCTATATATAAGGTACGTATGGAAAGGTTCACTATGCCCGTCAAGATATTTGCCTGATGCAAAAATAAAATAATAATAATAAATAAAATAAAAATAAAAATAAAAATTTTTTAATTTAGTAGATTATTTTAGTAAAAGTCGCATGTTCAAAAAAACTCACCAAAATAAACATCAACAATCCGTTGGAGTTAACGGCTTCCATAATTTTTGGCATTGTTTTTTCATTGGTCTTCCAATAGTTCGGGAAAAACCATACCTCAATCGCTTGGTACGTTGATAGGACACTTGTGTTAAAAGCCACAACCAAAAATATATAACTTAAATTTGCCAACTGCCGAGAAACTTGGACCAGCAGCCCAAGACTAAATATAAATCCAATCCAATACAAGATTGTCCATGAAAATAAAAGCATCAATAATTTATCTTGTTTTGGTTTTTTTGTTTGTCGGTTTTGACGGAAAGCGAAATATGGATCTGGTGGTAGGATATAATGACCTATCTCGAGGGCGAATAAGAATATTGATAGATAACCTGGTAGAAAAGTGGATAAGAAAGTGATTATTTCAGAAACCTGGATAGTAACAAAAATTGAAAAAAAAAACCGAGTTAACGGAAAATTATTACATTACCCCAGAAACTAAATATTCCTTCTTTATTTGCACTAACTAGACTTGTGCGCGGTGCATGCAGGATATAATCTTGCAGTCCAAACCAAAGAGCGATTTGATATGCTACATACAAAGGTAATTTAGATCAATTCAACTCGTGGAAAAAAAAGTGGGGGGTTTTTTCATACATACAGAATGCGATGGCCAACGCGATAAAAGAAAATCGAATGTACTTTTGAACCACTCGGCAAAGGGTAACGAAAATAGGCAAGAACCCAAGTGTGAAAAAGAAATTCCAGTGTTTTCCGTATTCGGATACATGTTCCTAGAATGATGATAAGTTGATTAGAAGTTCGCACATTGACGTTTTTCAAAAAGAATATTGTTAATAAGTACCTGGTAATCAACGCTTTTGACCATTATCAAACGTAAAAATCCAAGTGCCAAAAGGGGTAAAGCTCGTTGGAGTGCTTTCAGAAGTTGTCCCTTGAGTGGTTTAAATCGATTTTCGGGTCTCTTTAAAAATGGTTTTGCTGATACGATTCCCGAAGAAAACACGAATGACCCTACACCGAGGTCCATCTGCACGGCGATTTAAATTTACTTGTGTCATCAAGATGTCACGAAAATTCCGACGATAGAAAATATGTATTTGCTCTATTCACTTTACCATTGAGGTTCCAAAATTTTCGACCTTTGCAAACCTCCTAGGAAATACGGGAAAATCTACCGCCAGAATAGCGATACAAGTTAAAATAATCATGCTTGATCTATATACACTTAAGAACGGCTTCTTCCCGATGTTGGTTGAACTAATTTCAGAACCTTCGGAATCTATCGCATCACCCGGTTTTTCTTTTACAAGAAATTCTTCTAGATTTTCGCTCTCATCATCTGAATCCTTGTCCCATTTTTTCTTTTTCCTTTTTGGTATCTGATCTTCGGGTATTGAAGAGTTCTTGATGACCAAGCCGGTTAAAATTAATAACAAAAGATTTAAATAAAACGCATATTCGGCAAGCAAAGTGCACGAGAGAAGACTTGGTAGTATGATCAACATGTATTCGAAAAAGAAGTTCGTGACAGCGTTGGTGGAATGCTTGAAGAAGTCCGAATATTTTGCTATTGTTGACCATAGTATATATGATGTCTGTTGTGAAATTATTCAGTTGAGTTTGATGGCTATCATTGATTATTGATAGAATGCAAATCGAAGTAAATTTACCAAGATAACTCCTGACACAGAAGTGATTTCCGACATAGAACTACCAGTATGACCTGTGACCCAATCCTCTTTTGCCTTTTTGTAGGCCATCTCGTCATACTCATTATATTTATCCATGTATAATTATGATAAAAAAAAAAATAGCTTTAGAAATGAGAAAATTATGACAGGTCAATCGCTACATATTTATAATTTTGTCGTGATACGAAGTCGACGTAGCCGAGAACTGCGGTACATTATGTAAGATGCAGATGCGTATCACTTTGCAAACCCTTTTTTTTTTTTTTTTTTTTTCACTTATTTAAGATTTTCGTTTGCGTTGAAAAGAAACCTAATAAGATTATTTTGTTCTTTTTAGGCATTAGCATCACATTAAGACATTCCAGATTAAGAATGATGAATGTTACAGAAATATAATGAAGCATCGCGTTGTACCACAACTTTCGTTCTCTATCCGGAAATCACCATAACCCCTTTCTTTCAAGTTGGTAAACAAAACGGAAATTTTATTTGTTTGGGTTATGATACAAAAAGCAAGGTTCATAAATTAATGTCATGCATGGCCCTAAAAATTAAATTCCTTTAACGCCTGCAGCGATGATATGCAAGCAAGATTAATATAAAGAAAATTCTCGATACGCCTTTACATTTAGAATGAGTGATAGGTTTTTATCGTTACGCGAGAGCAAGGATTAAAATTGCACCATTTTTTATTCACAAAACCATAAACGCACAAAAATATATGAATCTGTCCCAATAAAACAATCTATGTTTAGAGGACTAATTATGTTTTTATAAGCAAGCAAGAAAATATATCTTTTATAATTTTAAAGGAGAATATATAGTAAATTTGTTTGCTATACTGAATACTAAAGTAGTAGCAGTGATATATATTTTCATGCGTACCCGCAAAAGAAATAATAAAGTGTGTTCCTCACTAAAATGCGAAAAATTAAATGTAATTAAGATTTAAGAACGTTCGCCGCGAAGACGACGAGCCAATTGAATATCTTTGGGTTGAATTGTGACACGCTTGGCTATATCAATGAATAATTGATGTTAGTGATACAGTATAGGACGCAAGAAGATATGTGGAAAGATAATGTTGATCATCGAATATCTAGAACAATCGATTTCATTGGGGATATGCTTACCGTGAATGGCGGCCAAGTTTGTATCTTCAAACAAGGAGACGAGGTACGCTTCAGCTGCCTGTTTTAATCAAAATTTGTCAGTTAATATAGCGAATAAAGAATACAAAGTCGTGAGGAAATCAGATAACAATTAGTCAATACAATACTTCTTGCAAGGCACCGATAGCGCTGGACTGAAAGCGCAAGTCGGTCTTGAAGTCTTGCGCGATTTCACGAACAAGTCGTTGGAAAGGCAACTTGCGGATCAAAAGCTCAGTACTCTTCTGGTAACGGCGGATTTCACGTAAAGCAACAGTACCGGGTCTATAACGGTGAGGCTTTTTTACTCCTCCGGTAGCCGGCGCAGACTTGCGAGCTGCTTTGGTAGCGAGTTGCTTCCTGGGGGCTTTACCACCGGTACTTTTGCGTGCAGTTTGCTAAGGTGAAAGGTAAAGTGAAAGTAAAAGAGAAGTAAAATAATAGTAAAAATAAATAAACGAGCGATGGGCGAGTTCGCAAGCTTCGTGTAATAAAGCGAGAGAAGAAAAAAAAGAAAAAAAGAAAAAAAAGGAAGGTTTCCAAAGTACCTTAGTACGAGCCATGATAATAGACTGGTTTTCTTTTTTCTAGTAAAAGTGAGTCCTCGGGTGGTTGCTTAGAAAAAAAAAAGTTTTTTGAAATTTTCAGAGGCAATAAAATTTGCGAAAGGGAAAGTAAAATGTATTTTTATATTAGTAAACAAAAAAGACAGGTGTGTAGAAGAGTTAAGTGACCACCAAAAAGTCAGGAAAAAGGAAAACTCTGGGTATATGTGAAAAAAAATGAATAGTAAACAGCCTCAGTACTGTAGTTGTCAAATAAAAAAGGGTCGGACCTATTCAATTATTGTGAATCAAGAGCTAATTTTATTGGCGAATTAAACAATTTCTCTGGTCATGAGGTTAAGGGAAAAAAAAAAAATATATACTTGGATGAGGTCATTTCTGGAGGCGAGTTGGGCATCGTACGTTGGTTGCGACCAAGCATTAAGATAACAACAATCTATTGAGTTTCCGAATGAATTAATTTTCTACAAGTCCTGAGTCAGATCGTCGTGATTTCGGCCAATCACATTACACAAAGGTATTGCGAATAAATTGTTTGATAATTTAATGTATAAATTCTAAGACGCTCTTCTTATTTAAGAATAAACATTTTACGAACAATTATTTCTTTTCGAAAATTTTCGAATCTTCTTAAACTCGGGGCTCCCATAAATTACCTTAGTCATCAATCGGACTTGAATCACGTAATAGTATGAAATATAATATTTATTTCACAAGTATTTAAAGATTGTACGTGACTTTACCATACAAAATAATTCGTGTTTTTATTTATTTACAGTATACTGTATATACTAGTTTAATTTATTTTTTTTATATTTTTAAAATAAACCAATATAAAAATTTGTTATTGTAAAAAAAAACTTTTTTTCTCTTTTATTAATTAACAACATTCTTTTAATATTTTTTTTACTTTTATGATTTTTTGAAATATCATATCTATTTTAATATGATTTTAAATTTTTAAATAATTAAATTCTTATCAAAAGTAATTAATAGATACAAAATAAATTGATTTTTTAAATACAAACATATTTCTATTAATCATAATCATATATTTTAATACTATTAATAATAATAATAAAATAAACAATAAATAAAAAACTTTTTTTTAAAAAAAAAAGTCAATTTAAAAATAATATTAGTGTGATACAAGTTAAAAGTTAGCTAAAAACACTATAAATACTTACCTCAATATATTTATCTTTATTTAAAAAATTTAAATATAATTTTAATATAAATTTTTATAATATCAACTTTTATTTTATACAAAAAAAATAATTATATAAATTCAATATTTATTTGTAAACTTTTTCTACTGATCCTTTAACCACATATAAAAAAAATATTCACAAGAAGTTTTTACACTTCCTTGCTAATAAAGTCTTAACACTTTCCTTAAAACAACTTGAAGTATGACTTCAAGAATCACTTTTATCCTTTTCCTATTATTTATAAACCTCTTCACTCAAAAACTTGACTCTTAGTGATCAAGAAAAATCAAGTAACACCTTTGATACTAATGATAAGAAAGTTTCCAAAAGAAGAATAATTGACTGTAAAATATCTAAAGATCTTTTTAACATTTGAAGCAAGAGGCTTATAGAGATTTTTTGCAATAAAAAAACTTATTCTCATTCTTTTTGACTGTCTTGGTCTTCTTAAAGCTCTCATTTTCATGGTTTTCTGGAGAATTTTATCTATATCACTTTGACCCTGAATTTTGAGTAGCATAAATCCTAACCAAAAGTGATTAATTGATATAAAATATGTCAGTTTTTAAAATATAAACAAGTTCCTATTAATTATGCTTATGTGTCTTGATACATTATTGATAATATAGAAAAGAAAGTTCTAAAAAAAATGTCTCCTCCAATTATGTATATTCAATCTCCAGGAAACAATTATGTTATCAAAAGACAAGTAACAAGTAGGAATAGAAAATTCAATTTTCATCTTTTATCAAATTTCTCAAGTGAAGAAAAGAATTTCTTGAACAAAAGCTGGGATCTCCAAGCTTCTATCCCAGTTAGGCAAAATTCTTGAAAAAATTTTTTTATTTTGGTCAAGCAAACTTTTTTATAATATGATACTGGCTTCAATAGCATTAAACAAATCTATATATCAGTAGAATAATAAGTTTTTCAAACATTTTTCTTGAAGTTATTTTTAGGAATGATTAAGTTTTTCAAACATCATAAAGCTTAGAGAATATCCCAATTAGGCAAACCCCTTTCAAGAGGAAACTGTAAAATAAAACAAAAATCTTTTGGAGGATTTTGAATTATATTTCACTTTTTTCTTTTTTTTTTCAGTATCAACTTTAGCAATTTATCATTTTTTAGGATAATCAATAGTAATAAACTATTGGCAATAATCCTGATTGACTTAAAGACTTTATACCAATCTATTAGGGAAATGTAATATTGTTTCCTAAATTTAATTTAGAGTACCTAATTTAGACTTAGTTTTATTTAGTTCAAACTAGCTTAGTAGACTCATCATATTTTTTAAGTAGTATAATTCTTTGACTAATAATATACAATGACTAGTTAGTCGCTTTATGAAAATCTATAAACATTGTGATATTTTTCAATATCTTAATAAAAATATGTTATTATAACATGATTGTGGATTAAAAAAAAAAAAGTATTGTAAAAAGAATACTTAATAGAATGAGATAAAAATAAAGAAGACTTGAGAACTCTGACAGATAGAGATTTTGAGCATAAAGGGGAATAACTGGGTTTTCTTTGAAATAAGCTATGAAAATCAGTTAAAATATACTGATAAATAGATTTATTATAACATTATTAGAAATGATAAATATAATACTATATGTGACTATAGAAATTTAGAATAGTTTTATTTTGATAATATATATAAAGAATATTACTTTTCTACAAAAACTCAATAAACTGGGCCTCTGTCAATTCTGATATAAAAAAAAATTTTTTTAATTTATTATAAATAAAAATAAATCTTTTAAAAAAAAAATAAGAACAAAAGTCAAATGTTTCTTATTATAAAACTTTAAAATTTTTAACTTAATAACTAAAAAAAATTATTTATAATATTCTTTATTATATAAATCATTAATTTATAATATATCTTGAATTTTATTCAAATTAAATACTAATCGAAATTATATCATTTGATAGCTGAATTATTGTCGAATTTGATTAAATTTAATAATAAAAATATTGTCCAATCCTTTTTGATTGTTGTCACTTGACATATTACTATTTTGACAATAAAGTAGCAATAAAAAATTTGTCAATCAAAAATTTGACATCCAAAAATTTGGCAATTAAAAATTTTACAATTAAAAAATTTGACAATCAAAAATTTATTAATTAAAAGTTTAACAATAAATTGTCAAAAAATTCATTAACAACTTATCAAATAATTCAAGAGCTATTTAGTAAAAATTCATTAAAAGTTTTTCACAAAATTATTTATTAACAATTCAATAAAAATTTAACATTAATTTATTAATAATTTGTCAAAAATTCATCAACTATTCATTAAAAATTTATCAACTATTCATCAAAATTATTCATTAAAAATTCATTAACAATTTGTTAAAAATTCAACAATTATTTATTAAATTATTCATTAAAAGTTTATTGATTATTAAAAATTTGGTAACTATTTATTTATTATTTAATAAAAATTTATAAAACTTGCAAAAAAAAATTATTTATATTTTTAAATTATTATTTTTTTTTAAAAACCCTCTGTCAGACTAGTTATGTGTACTTTATTAAACAATCGTAGCTATACATATAGTATAAATTGTTAAAGCTAAAACTTTAACTAGCTCACTCATCTCAGTAATTACTCTAAGTATAACTTTGGGAATGATTTTTTGCTCTATTAAAAGTTCAGGTAAAGACCCTTCCAACTTTTAATATCATTGCCTATAGATTACTATTGCAGATCATTCTTTGCAGTTCTAACAGAACTCAAAACCCAATCATTTTATTCTGAATCTAACTCCTTTTAATAAGATATCTATAAGACCTTGATCTTCTAATCTTTCTTCTTCTATTAATGGAACTCCTCTTCTTTCTAGCAATACAGTTTTAGGTTTTGGATCAGGAAGGCTTGGAGATCTTTTTATCTTATCATTTCTTTGGATTCCCTATGTATTTTCCTATTCTATGATTTTTTTACATTTTGTATTCCAAACCTTCTTACGAAATCGGTTGTATACTGTACTCTACATCTTCTTTATCCATTTTCTTGCTTCTTTTCTGATTTCTTTGCCATGGTATTTAAGATCTGCCATCTCGAGAACAAGGTTGCTTCTTATCAATCCTGTAAAGAAGCTCAATGTATCTTGGCTAGTTGTCAAAGCTTGTTCTATCAGCCTGGATATCCACTTATCTATTTCTTTCAATTCTTTCCTATTCTCTATTATTAGTCTCACATTCTTCTTAGCCACTTCTTTTTTTCTTTCTTGTAGGAGTTTTCTAAAGTTTTTCAGAATCTCTTCGAGACCTTTGTTCCATGCTTCTTACATCTGTTCCTTGTAAGCTGGACATTCTAGCAGGGGATCAATTGTTTCTTCTTTATGGAGGCCACATGCAATACATTTCATTTGCTTATACAGATACGACCTTCTTATTGCCAGTTTACTTAGAGTTGATAGCTCATCGCTTGTTAATTTAATAAGAAGGCTCTTTCTCTGTAAGTCTTTGAATGATATGTCCCATATATGCCCATTTATTCTTTTCCATGCTAGATCCCAAGTGTATTCTTGTTGTTTTTTTATCTGATGACTCCATTTCTTTTCGGTTCTATTCTGTGCTGTCCATTGATATACCATGGTCTTGTTATTTATCTTTTTGATAAATTGTCTTATGGGGTTATCTAATGTCTTGTCTTTTTACTTGATTTCTATAGGAATTTCGTAGGAAGTGGGATCCTTTCATTCTATTGCAGGCAAGTTGAGGGCTTCTTTGATTAAAGCACTGCTTCGTCATTATAGGAATTATTGAAATGTGCCTTGACCTTGATAAGCTTTATATTTAGATTTTTCTTTTTAACCAACTCTACCATTCGTACTCATAATAACCAGTTTTTATCTTTTAGTCATCTTTTATGTGTTCTTTTTGGATCATCTTTCTTGACTGATAGCCATTTAGAGATGTAAGCTTGACTATCTGTGAAGATTTTAATTGTGCTATCTATTGGAACTACTAGGAGTATTATGATTATTGCTGTTATTTCCATTCTTGTTAATAAGGGCCAATTATCTACTCTTGTTAGAAATCTACTTTCTTTTTTTCTTCACTAATTTGGATCCATGCTGCTCCCATTTTCATCATATTACTTCCATGATCAACAAGTGAGCCATCTGAATAGAAAGTCAGCTTTTGATTAGATCCTTGATTACACCGAAGTATCTCTAGTTTCTTCTCAATTTTTTATATTTACATAGTCCATTCTGGTACATTGAGAAGGGGATGGCA